CGTGTGGTGCATTAAATTTTTATTCGATGATATGTGAGCCGTTCGATTTATTTGATTGTCGTTTTCATAGTGCTCGAATAAATTAAACTTTTATACGATTATCTGATTCAGTTTCTAATAACGTACACGCGATAATTACTCGTTTTCTCTGTCACGTGTTTGCGCTTGGATTCGAAGATCGGTGTGGACAAGCAGTGTTACCATCGATTGATTGTGGTCTTCCTGTAAAACCCATCAAGCTTTGATGGGGTTGTCACGTGTCGGTGGGACGTTTGTGAGCTCGAGAGTCATCGAGGAACGAAGAGTATCGTGCTGGAATTGACTAGTCGAGATCTGCGGTGAATGATGGTTCTTTCGATCGATCGTGTTGACTCGTGTTCGAAAGATCGTATTCGATTTACGAAGAAAGCGGATTTTTCATTTCGGACATTGAGTGAGTACTTGATTAGATTGTTTTAGGAGATTACAATTAAACTTTAAACGTCTATATTAATAATATTAACGAAAATACTGCAACGTGATTGCCAAGAATTACTTTCTTTCATAGACTAAGAATTGTCTCATAATAAATCAATTAATTTATTATCACATATATATAGTGCGAGATTGTAGATAATATTCTTGTAAATGGAGACCCTTTTACTTTAATTCCTAAACACACGCATGAGACATTAGCAACTCGTGGCAACAATTATATTGATAGCGCGGCTCGTTAATTAACGTCCTTCAATGCGCCGCTATATCGGCTAGTATCCTACAGCGACGTGATTGTATGTCTATGAATAGAAACGCGCGGAACGATTGATTACCTCTTTTAATGGACAAGCAAATAATGAAACGTTGCAAATGCATAACATTAATCAGCTTAATTCGATGATTTATAAAAGTAGCAATTTACATATATATATATATATATATATATATATATATATATATTACAAGTTGAAAAATATCCAAAATCTTAATCGAATAAAACAGATGAAATATTTGAAAGGAGGTTTTTATAGAAATATACACTATTACACGGTCCTTTTATATTATCGTCGCGGTATCAAATGAAAACTAGATCGCTCTCCGTTGAGCCGAGGTTTATGATAAAATGAGGGAGGGGAGAGATTCGCGATTTGGAGCGCGCGGGCAAAGAAATAGCGGTGGAATAACGGAGTACCTGGTTTGTGCCCTGCCCGGCAGTTGATCGGAGCGTGACGAGCGGTAATTGAATGTAGGTATGGCATTTGCATTGACAAGCTCCAACAGAGATAATTCGAATCTCGTCGAACGCAATGGTCCACACGGGCGTTAGGTCGTTTGTCAATACGACGGCGGCCGTCCAGTTTCCACGTTTCCAGCGGTATCGCGCTGTTTGTCACCGTCTCGTCGACGATCGTTCGCCGCTGAATACACCCAGCGCATACTTCTGTAGCGCGAACGCGTTTCGTTCGGTTCCGTTTTGCGAGCCGCACCGTACTGTCAAATACACGGTGTATCGGTCAAGGATTATTGCGGCCGCCGCTGAAATTGTTGTTCGATTTTCTTTGACGAAAAAAAAAGAAACGTTTAATGAAAGTTGTCGTTATTCGATTTTCATCTCTGTCGAATATATATTTTTTTTTTTAACTTAAACTTGCAAACTTTGAATAATTAGCTACTTTATTTTTTATCAATGAAAAAATTCGGAGAGTATATTGAGAAAAAAAAACAAGCGAAAGAAAAAGTTGAGATTTTTAAAAAGAAAAAAGATTAAAATGTTAAAAGTTGCACTTTTTGCTAATTGAAGAGAGGTTATAAAGATGTCGTTTCGCATAAGAGCGCTAAACCGACGCGAAAAAACCTTTTTGAATTTGTTGGTTTTATACAAGTGGATCCGCACATGTTCGTAGGACCTCGAGTGTTTGCCTGCCGGCAGATTCGCGACCGGTTGGATATCGTCAGGATATATTCGCGCAGGAAATGGGTAGTTCCATTGTTTGCATATTCGTACAAACAGTGCAACTGCGAGGATGCGCCCGGGACCTCTGTTTGATTTTCGAAAGTGAAGCTTCATTGTACGAGATACTGTTGTACGAGTGTTCCGATGCATATGAAACAACGATGCGTTTTGAGGAAAAAAACGCGCGAATCTGTCGATGGGAAGGAACGATCGATTCGGAGAGAGAGAGAGAGAGAGAGAGAGGGAGATTGTTGAAATCGAACAAATGATATTTTTTTACAAACTTTCGCGTATATATATATACGCCGATATTCGATCCCGGAAGTTCTCCCTCGCACGCAAATTCAACATTGGATTTGACGTGATTAATTCCGCGGAAACTTTTGCTCGTCGAGCCTAATTGGAAGTATCGAGATGTTGCAACGCAGATCGCACCGAGTTACGCACGCGAGAGAGAGAAAAATGTTCGCGCGCGCGTACAGGCCGTAACGTAGAAAACCGATCAAATCGGGGTTCGATAGATCGATCGAAGTCTCTCCCGGCTCCCCACCGATGTCCAGCACGCGAGCCATACCGCAAAAGGGTCGAGGGGAAAGAGAGCGCGCGAGAGAGCGAGAGTGCCGAGAGAAAGAGAGCCGACGTCGCGAGAGGGAGAGATCCAGTCCGGTGGGAGATAAAGCGATAAAGAGCGGCGTGCGCGCGAGAGAAAGAGGTTACGCGAGGCGGAATGAGGGACGAAAAGAGAGAGGGCGAGGAAGAGAGCGAGGGAGGGAGCGAGAGAGAGAGAGAGAGCCAGAATAGGGAAGGAAGATTGGAAGGAGTGGGGTGGCAGAGGGGTGTGAGAGAGGAGGAACCAGGAAAGGGGAAAGGGATGCTGCGTGTGTTGGCATGGACCAGTGCGTCAACGGCTGTTGCCTCACACGAACCGCCGAAATTATAGTTAGTGACCCCCCAACGGATACTTGAGAAATACACTCCCGACTACCGTTGCGCTATATCGAACTGCCACTTTCGCGTTGCTGTTCTCGCGGGGAACAAAGATGATTCGAGGGTGTCGCTAACGAACCGCCGAAGGGGTCCCTTCGGGATCGCCTAAGGGGGAATCATCGTAGAAACGTCCTTCGAACTCGGTCGAGAGCGATCTCGACGAGACGCGTTTCGAGGGACAAGATCATTCCCGATCGTTACCGATAGGCTTTTTGTTCGAGTGAAGTGTTTGATGAGACATTTGTCTCGTCTCGAACAAGACTTTGTACATCGAAGTGCGTGATTATGCGAGCATTTTTTGTGTCGATAATTAATGATATCGTGAATGATAAAGCTTGATCAGTAATCGATTGTCGCGTTAAATGGATAATCGAGAATTCTTGAAATGCGAGTAAGTGACAATTTTTGAAAAGGTTACATTATTAACGCTTATTTTCGAAAAACGAATATTTCTCTTTTGTGTGAAATATTTTTTGATATTGGTTGTTGAAGGCGAGAGGAAGAGTGGCAGATACATTTGTAACATACCAGATGATTTAATAAAAATAGTGCATAATGCAATTTACAATTATTTTTTGTAACAGTAGTCGTTACATTGACTCTTTGAAGGAATTCTTTTGCATTTTTTTTCAATTTTAAAAACGTTCTTTGGTTTCGCAGAACGTTTAAAGATTATATTGCTACGTATTCAATTTACTTTTTAATTATTTACAAAGCTTTCGAAATCATATAATGATATGACGTTAGTGTTATAATTCCACCGGAAGAGAAGTAAACAGAACGAGTTTCGTAAGAGATTTGAATGCGAAGTTAAGCGAGAATCTTAGCCGTCGCAAAGTCGTTCAGCGTTCTTACAAAAGAATCGATAGAAAACGAACTTCGATTATTATTATTATTTCTGTTCTTAAGAGTGCGGAAACATTCCGCATTATTCTCTTATACAATAGAATTTCAGTATTGGCTTTAGAGAAATGTTGAACATGCAGCAATTACTTTACATAACAGTACTTTAGATAATATATAGCGCATTGTGTGATTATCCCCACTTATTACCATTTTGAAATAATCAATTACAACATGTTTGTTACATACGATTAAATTATCGTGAAATTATTTCTAATACAAAGCTCTTCTCGCTCTTCTCGTGCGGCCGAATATGACGGACAAGAATGAAAAAAAAAAAAGAGAAAAAAGACAGTCACTGGGGATTATCGATTAGCACGTTTACCGTGTAATAATCATATTCATAGTCACGTATATTTAACTTTAATTGTGTCTTCGTCTTATTATGAATTTGATATCGGCCGGCTCGCGATTTTCGAGTCGCGAGTCCGTCATTGACAGGAAGCAACGTAGTAAACGTAGCCACGTGCAGTTTGACACGCGGTCGTACGTGCGTAGGGGTTGGGCATTCGTGTGGGGGGTGCCTACCGTCGGGTGTTCTTTTTCCCCTATTTTTTCCGTCCCCACCATCGAGCCGGTCTGCCCCTCCTGAAACCACCTGGATCCGGCGTGTCAGCCCCGGTGACGTGCGCAAAAATTACTGAATGAACGGTGACGTCACGAGCCAGCCGCGTGAAAAGTGTGCGAGCCGTTCCTGTTCGTGTCAACCGTTTTCACCCTCTTTCGTTACTCTTCGCGCGTTTACCCGCCGTTCAACCACCGCCGCCCGCTTTTTCGCTTTTCCGTTCCCGAGTCGGTGTCGTGTCGTCGCGAGAGTTCGGACACAACTCGGTTAAAGGGTCCCGGTCGTGAGATAACGGCACGTAGAAGATTATTAAATGGATTAAGGGTGGTTAGAATACCCCCGCTTGATCAGCGACGGCCGCGAGGGTGCAATCGCATGGCGAGAATTTGTTTTGTCAAATCAGGCTTTTGCTTGTTTAATAATCTAGATTCTTGACAATATTCAATGCGTATTAAATTTGTCATCAAATTTTAGCATAAGAATATCAAGTTTTCAATAAAAATATATTTAATATATTAGCTATGAATAAATAATTGTATTAATTTTAGCACAGAAAGAAGACAGGGTAAAGTAACAGCGTTCTTGAAACATCGTTTTTTCTTTTTTCTGTTACAGATGTAGCTGCGGTTTGAAAGATGGAATATTGAAAAAGATTAAAATTATCTTGACTCTCATCTCGTAAAAAAAAATTTCAATTTCCAAGATTAATATTACACCAAGCAAAAGAAGTGATCCCTCGATTCTCGTCATAAAAGTGTTAAGAATAAACAAGTCCACTGTCAGATTTGCACGACGATGCACAACTCTATGGAGAAATTTGAAGAGAATTCTCACGTCGCGTTCAACATTTATCTCGGCGCCAACATTCGAGAGAAGAGCTATTAAAATTAACGACATCTCGTGAGCCACGCTTGCTTCCGAATTTTGAGAAGGATCTTAAACTTCCGCGAAGGAGATATCAAGCCGTTAAGCTTGATCCGAAAGATTATGCGCTCTTGAAAGATGCTCGCGAGACGCTTTCGGCTCAGCGGGTGAACCGAATGGAAGGATGTTTCATCCGGTGTTCTGACTGCCTATGGATATATTCAGCCGTTGCAACGGCGGCGGCAGCGGAAGCACGGTAGCCGGAAGCGGTGTTGGCTCGGTGAGGACGTCCAGCAACGAGTCCGCCGGTGGTGGTAGTAGTGGCACGTCGAGCGGTACCAGCGAGAGCGGCAGCAGCGCGAGTGGCAGGATGCAGTTGACAGGAGCCTCAGCTCCTGGTGCGGCGGCCTCGCCAGAGTCGGGCGTCTCTCCGTTGACCGACGCCTACACCAAGATGACTAGCGATATCCTCGCCGAAAGAACTCTGGGCGACTTCGTCAGCGAACATCCCGGCGAGCTGGTTCGAACAGGTAATTTGAGTAGAGAGATTATCGATAAATTGCAACGTATACGCGAAAAAAGAATTTTTTCAAATCGTGGAAAAATTTATACAAAGTTTACACGCGACAGCCATTTTGCTAATTGAATGGTACTGATATTTTGATCGACAGGCTCGCCGCATTTGGTTTGCACCGTCTTGCCGGCGCACTGGAGGTCCAACAAGACTCTTCCGGTGGCTTTCAAGGTCGTAGCTCTCGGCGATGTAGGCGACGGTACTCTCGTGACCGTTCGTGCTGGTAACGATGAGAATTGCTGCGCCGAGCTCAGAAATTCGACGGCTCTAATGAAGAATCAAGTCGCCAAGTTTAACGACCTGAGGTTCGTCGGCCGAAGCGGAAGAGGTGAGTCATTTTTTTCGTCACTTTTCTTGAAATTTCATCGAACGTGAGGAGAGATCTGTGTCGCCGTTTGCCAAACCTTACAATGAATGAAAATTGTAACAAAGAGAAGGTGATGAAAGTGTCGGTGATACTTCTTCTCTCCCTTTTGCCCTACTTTCCTCCTTTCCATTCATAAAATTGCAAAGTTCTTCAGTCTTTGCTTAGAGCGTGTCGCCCTTCGTCTTTTATGCCGGAAGAAAATGTCGGAGGGGTGAAAGATGACGTTAGAAACCCCTTCAAAGAATTCGGTGTATGCCGCGTAGTAAGGGTAGGTCGCGGTCGTCTTGAGACAACCCTCGTTTTTCCTCGGCCCTTCGGAGGAAAAGTCTTGCGTCTCTGCTCGATTCAGGGGGTTGGCTCTTCGAGCGGGCGGGGGTGGATCCGAGAAGATCGCTTGGGGTGGGTAATGGCTTTTATTTGTCGGCATCACCGTGCGACCTTCTTCTCTCGTTTTGCCGCCCAGTCTCTCGTCGAGAAAAGGGCGAATTGAGAGGGACGGAGCACGGAGCGTCGCTCGAAGAAGCCGGCGAGAGAAGCACAGGGACGGGTGATATTAATTGAGGTTTCAGTAGAGTTTTAATTAACGTTATTAGAGCCGGTATTTCGTCTAACTGCGTCTTTTGAACTCTCGCGCCACAGTTCTGGATTAACTTAAAGTATCTGCGTGTGCATCCGACCTACTTCTAACGATTTCGATAAAGTTGTTTGACTTATATAATTTATCACGGCGAGTTGTGATTTATAGTTTTACACAGTTGCATTAATTTTTTATCGAAATTGATATTAAAAGTTAACTAACGCGAGAAACAGCTCACGCGAGAAAAAGTATGGCTTGCTGATGATAAATTTGTTACGACTAATGATATGATATTTAGTGTATTATAGTCATATTTTCGTATCGTATTGATAAGGGAAGTCTAATCGCCTGAGAATCGGGAAACTCGCAAATTCTCTAGTTAGGAAGCGGGAAACTCCTTCCCCCAAGTTCACGGGAACGCGTCAGTCATTTGTCTGGGATTAGCTCTCAATTGTTTTCGCCGAGCGCGGAATTAACATAAGCTAGGATGAAGAATGTAAGAGAAGTGTCTCTCTCTCTCGTCAGGATTCCTAACGGTTTCCTGGCTCCTTGAATATTCCCTGGAAACCGATGTGCGCCCGGGAATTCTTAATGATCTTCTCGTTTGTCGAGCGTGGAAATATTCGCACGTACGGATTCGCGAGCACAGAATTTTGTCCTTTCGATTCGAAGAAAGATTAGAAATTCCTTTCATGTAACTGCGTTCTTTATTGCTTCGCTTGTTTAATTAAATAATATTTGTAACATAAAAAAATTTAATATTTAAAAAATAATAAATTATATGCATTTATCTTTCAATCTGTAAAAAGAAACGTTACATTTTAATATTATTACTATTGCGATAAACGTAAACGGATCGTTAAACGTATAGCGTCCCGACGCCACGCTTTTGTCTTCGCCTAAAACCGCTTTTAGTCCGGACAAGATTGAGCGTACTGCCACGATAGTCGAGAGCTTTGCAATATCGATGATAAGCCGTAACCCCCTTCCCGCACGTTCGACCGTAATGCCTGCTCCATCACTGCAAAGTCTACCCTGAAGGTACTGGATTGTTTCCACCCTTCGGCCCTAAGCCCTTTAACGAGATAGATCATTTGCGCGCTTATAGTTCCAACCCGTAGCGGACGAGGTATCCTTCGACTTTGCTATGCCGTGAATAAACTTCGTCACGCGAACGTCGCCAATCTTACCAAGTTGCTTTAATTCTACAACACACTTTCTCTTAAACCTATATTAATCATTGTACTTGTAATGCACAACGCGAACAAGGGAGGAGAGTGTGTGACAAAATTCAGTAACTATCGAAAATCAAAAAAAATTTATTGTCGTTCTACTTTTAGTAAATGGAGATAAATTGACGAGAGGGAGAGAGAGAGAAAGTAGATCTGTAATAATTTTCAATAACATTTATAGATTAAAAATTGTTCACACTCTTTTAAAAAAATGTATATCTTTTGAAGGAAAATGTGCGTGTATACGCAATGTTTAATTTAAACACAAATATTTGAATAATTCTCACTGATTCTCGCGCGAGTGTAATAAAAATTTATGAAATGCATCGAATCGGTGAAACGCATTCACTCGGGAAGTGTTGATTTATCGGCCGCAGAGCACGAGGCTCGTTTCATTTCGAAAAGAAAAACGTGGCAGTCACTCGCGGTGACGGCCGCAGTTCCTGGCCGTAATCAATTCGTTATCAGACTGCAATTGCGCATTTGCGTTTCGTTCGGGGAAAACTGAAATTAATTAATTGGCCCGACACAGTACACCGACAGTAGCGGTACATAATATCGGGACACGTGTACCGGCACAGACGTATAGTTTCACATACGCTTGCCGAGGACAGAGATATGCTAACGAGCATAATCAGCGAATGGCTCGGGGACGGGGTTTCTCCAACGTTCCATTTTCCTCAATTTACAACTCGACGATCATCGTGTAATTCTTTTCGAGATATTTCGAAAATTATATCTCGACGCGCGTTAATGCCATTACATCACGCACATGCGAACAATTATTATCAGAGAGCGAGTGTATGTCTCTAACAGAGGCAGCCGTCGAAGCGAGAACGCCGAGTTACGTAACAAGCTTGGATGAGTTAACAACAGGGCGAGCCTTCAAAAGGTACGTGTAAGAGGACGGCGAGCTTGATCGCGATCTTTAATGGCTGCAACGGCGACTGGCACCGAGGGTGATACCCGCGCTTATATCTATCTACCTAACCGGAATCATGGCAGTAGAGGTGAAAAGACTGGTTGGCAGGGCAAAAGCACGGCGCAAGAGAGAGAGAGAGAGAGAGAATGGCGTGACTCGTAGCTGAAATGGGGAATCCCCGCTGGAAAACGAAAGGCTCGCGTGGCGAACCGCCGTGTGGCCACGCTCGACACTCGCCATTATTTCTCCGCGATGTTTCTACCTCGCTTCCGCGCACTCTCATTTTTTTTCTTGTCTCGCCATCGATCATCTTACGTCGTGTACCCGCGACGGTACTTTGCCGTCTTCTTCTTCGTCTCGTGATGCCGACTCGTGGGAGGGTCCGACGAGGTGAACTTTGCTACCCGATCGATTATCGCCATTTTCGCAATTCGCACGAACACGTGTCTAATGGATCCGATAGAAAAATACGGTAATGGCCGCGCTCGAAAGGAGTAACGCGAGCGTTACAACACATTAGCGGGAAGGACTTCGTTTAGGAGCGGATATAAATAACATAATGTGTTATCCTTTATATATTGTAAACCGTTGGCGCGGGATAAAAGCGGCCCTACCTTTGCCGCATTATCGTATCTAATTTCAAGAAAACACATTTTGTGTCGAATATATATATATATATATCCGTCGCGTGCGCGCGGCACACGCGATATATATGGGTTAGTAAGTAAGATAATCATTACATTACATTTCCGTCGCGTGAGAGATACGCAAAGTTGTACCGGTGTCGTATAAACGCGTCATGCAAATGCACCGTGAAAAAATTCAACGACATAAAGAAAAAAAAACGCGCGTGTCCCGCTCGGGTCGGTGTCCGGGTACCGGATGTACGGTGATGAAAAAGAGAGAGGGTTAAAATTGCGGTGAACCTCCATTCGCGCGCAATTTTTTTTCCCCGTTGCGGCGACTTTTCGCATCGAGGAGACGTTACCCGCATTTTCGCGCGCTTTTGCTTTCGCGCTTGTTGCCGAATCGATCGCGCGAGCGGGGGACAGCTTTTCGCGGTGGAGTTTCGGCGCGTTCGCGGGATGAAATTGCGGTGGACCGTTGCACGCGCAACGAGGGGCTCGCTCCCACCCCTTTCCCCTTCTACCCCTTTGCTTTTTCCATGACATTATGTCGCGCGTAACCGAGGCTTTTTAACGAGAAGCCCTTTTCCCCTGTCGTCCGATTCTCTGTTCCCTTAACTCGGCCGCTCTGGCTGGCCACCGTCACCGTCGACGACGCCCTCGATACATTACCGACGTGTAATTCGGTTACCACGGAGTTTCGCCCGGCTAACCGCGTTTGCGAACTTTCGACGTCGGTTGAATAGGCGCGTCCGTGAATCGACGCGGTACCGAGAAATCGCTAAAAACGCGCATCTGACGTTGTGAAAGTTGAGTTAATTCTCTTTCTCCTCCGCGAGCATTCCCACATTTTGCGCATTGCGATGCGTGAGAAATTAAGATCGCGGGTTTGCCAACGAGAGAATTTGCCAGATAATAAATTTGACAAACCGATATATGTACTTCGATGAATCGCGTTAACGCGTGAAATATATGTTGCGTGTTTCAGGCAAGAGCTTTACGTTGACGATAACAGTGTCGACGACGCCACCTCAAGTCGCTACCTACACCAAGGCGATTAAAGTGACAGTGGACGGGCCGCGCGAGCCGCGATCCAAGACCAGTGAGTATCACTGTAAGCATTGCTATTCTTATATATATTTATTATTATACACTTTTTTCGCGGTTTACCTCCTCTACTGTCGCGTATATTCCTCCGCGTCGTTCTCGAGACTTTCGCGATTCGCAGATTCGAGCGAAATATGTATATTTATATTTATATATATATATATCTGCGAAGCCCAAGCTGCCGAGAAATCTCTCGAAACGATGGTAATGCTTAACGAACGAGCGGCATGATACCGGAGGCAGTAAAAGCCGCAAGTTCGAAATGGCCTCAATGTGCGGCTTTGTACTGGTCGTACGTTACCTCGGAGGCTAAGTTTCGCGCAATTGCCATTATTTATAACCAGCGGAACACCGGGCCTCCGCCATAACATTGACAAAGAACTGGCCGGGCGTTGCCCGCGGAGATGCGTGCGTCGTGTATATTTGTATGTATACATGTGTGTGTGTGTCTGTATCGCGGCGCTTTAGCCAAAACGCGGGGCAACGCCTACAAACTTGGCGGATATCCGATCGCGAGAACTCCTCCGCGAGCACCTACTGCCGAGACATACAATTACCGAGGATCCTCCATCCGTTATTTCGGTAGGTCGCATAGTCGACGCTCTGTCTGCAGGGGTTCCACCGTAGGCGCGAAGAGGAAACGCCTCTCATTCTCCGTTTGTTACCTACCTACCGCGTAACCTTACCACACAATGCATTGTACGCTTTTGAAATTTATTTCCAGACATGCCAATTTGTTTTGGGGAGGGGGGACACGAACCAGTTCTTTAAGAGAGTTTTGGTCTAAGGTAGGTTCTGTAACAAAGAGAGAAAAAAAAACATTTAAGGATTTACTTATATCGATCCCGCAATAAAAAGGCGTTAAAGAATTTTTCAGGTAGTCTGATTTTTTGTTTTCGAGTTTACTCAAAATTAATGGTGTAGCTTTATTAGGCTTTTAGTTGCGTTATTTTATTGCGACGCGAGACAGAATTCCGTTTTCATGTTTGCCGCCTCGGCTTAGTTAGATATTAGAGAGCGTCGTAATGTCGTCTGCGAAGGCGTACCAAAAATATCTGATAGCTTTAATATATCGAGGCGGTCTCTGGGTAGCACGGAGCATAAGTTTGGTACCTTGGGAAATTGCGACCACATCCGCCGGCTTGGCCGCATCTGCGGACCACCCACGAAACTTCCGTCATAAATCCAAAATATGAAAACGCGAAATTTCGGTGTACCGCCCGGAGACGCGCATCCAAGCAAAATACTAACGTGTAACGCGCTTCAGAGAGAGGGACAATTTCTCTTACGATATTAATGCTGCTTACTATCCGTTATCTCTCGTTCGCGAATTAAAAAAACGAAATATATTATTACAAGTGGAGCGCGATTTGTGCGAATATTATGAGAATCGTGCTTTTTTAACATATCGATAATTAATTTCAGGTTGAAATTAAAATGTTTTGCTTTGGTCTGACAATGAGAATACGTGTTAGAAAAAGCATTTTTAAAGCGAACACCGGATATGAATTTTTAGTCGTCGTTAAGGATAGCGTAAGAACGTCGGAAATAAGCGTTCGTCAAGTCGGCGCTTTGAATCTACTATGAAAACAAACATTTACCGAATCAGGGTAATGGTGCGACAATTTCAAGGATGGCGGCGCGAGATGAAAAGACTTCTTCCTGGGTGGTCCGCGTGAACTTTTTCCGCAGCCGCGATTCACGTGCCTCGTTTCGTGTTTGTGTGAACATCTATATAAGGGTTTTTTAACTATTATATATTTTCATGAATAACACATTTACTTTTGTATTTCATTTATCGAATTGTGTAATAATTTTTAAAAGATGCAAAACATATATGAGATGTGTACTATATTATATTTTTTTCTTTTTTTTTATAATTAATTATATAATTCAATAAATTATTTATAAAAATAACGTAAAATATATTTCAAGATTACTATAAATAAAAACTATATATATACAAATATAGACAACGTGCTTAAATGAAATTGCTATTCATGTGTATGAGCAAATATGCATCCAGAGTAATGCTACAAATTGTGCATTCGTGCATCCGAAGATCGAACGCGGAAACGAACGAATAAACCTTATCTAAGATAACACCGGGTGAATGCTTCCGCGCGAAGGGTTGTAATTAATTAAACAAGCAATTCATTACACATTCTACCCTCGTCTGGTAGCCGAAGGTGGTCGCCGCCGCCGCGGAAAGGCTGCGGGGTCCAAGGAAATTGATTGAGGGAGATTCAACCCGGGGTTCCGGATACTCCTCGCGAATGAGACTCGCCCGTTTGGGATCCGAAGGTTCGCGGATGTGCGCGCATCTTCGAACGAATGGAGAAACGGGTTGAATCGGCGACGATGGGAAAGATCGAAAATGAGCAGCGTCGCGCTCAGCATCCGTCTGGAGAGTGGAGCCGATTTCGGGACGCGGCTTGCGCGGGAGGTGGGGGAGGGGCGCGGGGATTGCCGACGGGACGAAATGAGGATCTGTCGTTGCCAGCTGCTAACTCTCGAGAAATTCCCTGGCAGTCACGGCGCGCAAAGAGGGTGTCCAATGAAATCGATAGCCGCGACTTGCCGAGAACTTACAACTTTGTCCAATCCGCCGCCGGATTGCCTTCTAATCCGCGAAAGAATAAATCGAAAGCTATCGTCAAAGTCTATTGCGCGGGATTGTTGCAATGAATCGGGAGGATTAAATGTAATCGATGATAATCAAAGTAATTTTAAAAGGTCTCGGAAAAATATTTTTGACAAATACACTGTCATCGAGGAAACTATACAGAAATAACTGATTAAGTGAAAAATTGACCGCTGATTATTCGTTAGCTCGTTTAAACGGAGAAAGTAACATAGGGTTCCGACCGTTTAGAAAAGCGAGCAATCGCGCGCGTAACTATCAGAAGGGTCGCACGGGTGCTCGACGCCTAATGAAATACTGCGAAGAACGGCGCGCCGAATTCAAAGGGTTAGGCTGACGTGATAAATTCGTGGGTCGAGCGGCATAATTTATTAAATCTATCAAGCCAGCATCCTAGGAAACTACCGGAACGAATTCTCGTTTCAAGGGCCTCGTCGGCTCTTTCGATCGCGTTTTGGTCGCGTGTTAATTCCCTCGTCATCGCGTCGTAGATGTACGCAAGGATAACTTCGATAATTGAATCGACGTTCATATACGCGGCTAATGATTTAAAAGGCGAATAAAAAGGCGCTCCATCTAAGGAGACCAGTGTATCCGAGCTCTAGGATTTTCTCCCGGGGCTCCTCTCAGGTCCTGCAGCGTGTTCGAATCGCCGGTCGTTTAACAGGATCTCGTTAGTCTCTCGGTACCCGTCGGTATTCCGCCGTCGCGCCCCCATTGTGTCCCCGGATCGAGCGTACCCTATTCAGCAAACCGGCGGGAATTTCGGGTTGCCGAGTTAGAATTAGGGCTTCGATTGGATTATCAGGACGGCGGGAGTCCGCCACCTCCCTTCCGTCCTGCGACCCTCTCCGTGTCGGTCTCTCTGGCCTCCGGTACCTTTCGCGTTGCCTTTAGGGGAAGGGAACGAACCTGCACACGACTGTCCTGTGCGGTGACCTCTAGCCAGCCGGATAGGACGTCCGCCTATTGGGACGTCTTTAATTGGGTTGGCGACACCGTCGCAGGGAAATAAAATGTATCGATGCCTTTCTCTCTCTCTCTCTCTCATCTCCCTTTCGTTCAATCGGCTTTCGAAGGGACGGCTACAGCATTTAGTTGTACCTATCGTTCCTCAGTCTGTCGTTTCTCAGTAAATGAACGATACTTTTTGCAATCGAAAAAACGTATAAATTATCTCTACGCGTTAATCTATGAATCGTAAAAAATTATACCATTTGTATAAATGATGCGCGAATAAAATATTTGGTCTGAGACGTTTGCTTCCGAGCGAGAAAAAAAACGAGATAAGCGATTGATACCGGAGGTCCAGTGGACAGGCGCACGGTTGATCGCAGTGCTGTCTCTTTTAGGGCAGCAGCAACAATTTCACGCCTTCGCGTTCGCTTCGCAACGAGGCGGCCCGTTCTTTGCCTCGCCTCTGGTGGATCCGTTGCAACCTCTGCCGAATCCGTTGCAACCATTACCGAATCCGCTCCAGCCGAGGGATCCGTTGTCTTCCTTTAGACACGCGATGCCCGGTAATTGTCAGAGTAAGTAAATCGACCGAGTCCCCGCATGATCGCAACCTCCAATCGTATAGCTCGGCTTTGAATGTTGCATCAGTATATACAACTTGTTTTATGCATGCGTTATTTTTTCGTGTTATACCCCGGCATCTCTCAATGCTTTCATTCGATGTAAGTGAGCCTTTAACCGCGCCATTTTTCATATAAAATATTTGAAAATTCTAAAACCTGCAAAAACGATATCAAGAAACGTATGCAAAATGATGACTCGTATCCGCGAGAAGAAATATTTTTATTTGATTTTATTTTATAATATTTCGATTTTTTTTTAAGTCGTGTTACGAAATTTAGAATTTTTGTCATCGAGCGGGCGGCTTCTGTCGAGTTCGGGAATATTTCCAACCAGACTGGTCTGAGTACAGAAGCACGGCTTTTGGATAGGCTCGGCAGCTAGCTTCTCGGCTTCAGAGGCGGAAACCGCAAGCCTGTTCAAAGCTAGATTAAATATTATATTAAAGGGGTTGCCACGGAAGCGCGTCCCAGTCGGTTGGCTGCCTGTTTTGGGGGCGCAGCCTCACCTTCTCTCCGCGTTTATAACGTAGATTCGCGAGTTTGCGCGCAAAGCGCGTTGTCAAAGTAATGTCGAGAGAGAATGTTAGTTAATTGTAGGAAAAAAAAAGAAGCTTTCGATCGTCGATTAATATCGCGTCGCTGATCGATTCGATCAAATCGGACCGACGTGCACGCGCGAACGATATCTCTCGGTGCACGATAAAATTTTTAATACTTTTTTCTCGGGCGCGCGATAACATCGATAAACGGTTCCGTTAGGCGCGCAAGAAGAGACGAGAAAAAAAGAGTTTAAACAATAATTCGAGATCGGCCATTTTAATGAGTTACCTCAGACGTGAGGGCTGACTGCTCCGCTGTTCTAGCTAAATTTCCCGATAAAATACGAAGCACGCCGAATATTTCCTTTATTAACTTTTTTCCCCCTCATCGGGCATCTGGTCGTCCGATAATACGCGTACGCGGCCGTATTATTCTCGCACTACAAGCTTGGCGAATTTGATTTCGAGAGACACTTGCCCTGCGGTTATTTTTCTCTAATAAAATTATAAAAGTTTATAGACTGCACGTTATGATGAAATTATCGATTTTCTTTCGATATAATTAATTAAGCTGTAAAATAAGATATTTGCTTGTTAAAAAAAATATACGGTGAAATTAATTTTTTATTCCGTGAAAGCGAAATGAGCTCGAGGCGAGGATTCAATTCGGTATTTGAATCCCGCAGCGATCCCCGCATATTTCGGACGGACTCGTGTGCAACTTTTCGGCGATTTTCCATAAAAAGGGAGACTCCTCTTCGGACCGCAAGGAATCCGGTAATGCCGAAGGACGTGAAAGCACGGACGTAGGCGGGTAGCAGTATTTAGGGTTAGCTCTCGTGACGACGGTCCGGTGGCGCTCGCCGAGGCGAGCTCGGTTATTTGAGTTGGCCCCAGCCAACGCAAAGGGGGGAGAGATGACCAACCCTTTGATCTCGATGTACCCCTCCGTTTCCCTCGCATCCCGCCGTGTCCCTCTCGCGCTCTCTCGTGCTCGTCCTTTCTGCATTCAACCCCCGTGACTCATTGGAAAATCTATCGGGGACGTTGCCTATACCCCGCAAAAATACATCCGCCATAAAGGGTCGCACAGGACCACTGCTGCTGCTACTACTACTGCTGCCGCCGCCGCCGCCGCCGCCGATGCATCTCGTGAAGTGATTTGAATTGGCATATAATCCAGCGAAAATTTCCCCGTTACCTTTTCATCCCTCTGTTGCTTTATCCGATTGTCGCGATTATTATTTATCTTTTCCGTTCGACTGCCGGGAATTGCTATTCGATATTTTGTTGTGTTAGTCCGCTTTCCTTACACGTGTTGTTTCTTTGTGCTACCTGTCTCCTCGCTCGTTGATTGCTTTTTCGCAGCTGGCTGATATTTCGATGACGCTGATGCTTTCTCGATTTACATTCTTGTATACAAAGGTGTTTCCTTGCTTTCATTTTCGTCGCCCGAATTATCCGTTCTTTCGTATTTTTTTGGCAAGACGTGCAACGGAAGGTTTCTCTAGACATGTCACAGTTTGGCCTGACGGCGAGCAATTCTTGGGGATACGGCAGCACGGCCGGCTACGCCGGCTACCTTCCGGGTCCTCTGTCGTCGTGTGCCGCACAGGCATCATTTCCACCCCCACCGCCGCCCCCTCCGCCGCCGCCGCCGTCATCCACGCTGGCGTCCTTTGCCGGCACAGCCTCCATGAATACGCCGACGGCACCGGACTCGACGGCGGGCTCGACCGTCACATCCGGCACCAGCAATACCGGCTCCACGCCGCAGCAGGACGCCTTCTCCGCGGTTTCGTCTCGTAAGTTCAGCCTGCTGCACGATTATTGTCGAATTTCGTTGTGGTCTCGACAAACGGACAACCATGGGGTATCGCTCAATCGTCACAATTTCTCATAATAACATCGCGATAAGTTTCACTTGAAAAATAAAGCTCCGATCATTTTGATCCAAGTCGCACACTTTCATTGGGATTAGACTCGCTGAATTATATAATCAGGACTTGTCGTTGTTAGACGACAGAAAAAAGAAAGATTCGCTGTGGAACAGCTGTGCCTCATGGTTGGAAATCTAGCTGATTCGAAGGATTCGAGGCTCTCTTAGCTCTCGGGAGCCAAACTCGATCGACGCGTTTGTCTCTACTCGAATTGAACGTAGCTTCTCGTTGCTCGAATTGTCGCAGTCGTACCGGACACCACGACACCGGGTCAGTCTGACCCGCTGGATCCGCTGAGCAGCCTCATGACCGGCGGTTCCACCAGCCAGAGGTATCAGGATTACGTGTCGCCCAGATCTCTGTCCACCGACTCGAGCACGACCGAGAGCCCAGTGCACGAGGAGCAGGGTTTCGGGCAGAATTACGGCAACTACTTTCCGACGCCCGGTGTACTGCCCAGTATACTCTACTCCCAGCTTTACGGGAATCAGTTCCAGAATTCCGAGAGCGCCGAGCAGAGGGCTGTCGCGGACAGTTGCAGCGTGAGGCAAGAAGAAGTTAGACCAGACAACAATGTCTGGAGACCGTACTGAGAGGCGGAGGAAAGTCATTTCTTATCCAGCGATTTGGCCGTCGAGAGACCGCAGAACTCTTGGAAGACGAGAGGAAAGTAACGCTTAAATAAAGAAAATAAATAAATAAATGATCGCTCTTCAAGCTCTCGGCCGCTACGACGAAAGTGGCCGATAATTGTAGTGTGACATGGTGATTCTTTGAAAACTATTCAAGTGTCAAGGACGATTCTTGACGACGAACACTAGTGGGCATTAAAACTTGATCCGAAAGGAACTCGGGGCGAGTCCGAGCTACGCTCTTCCGGAAAGTTTCGGGAATTTAAAAATTCTCTTACCGGTTGTGTTTCTCGCGCCAACGAATCTTAGGAGAGTGAATGAGCGGAGGAGGAGGAGGATTTGTAATTAAGCGGATTTGTTGCGTACGAGAGAGCGAGCGCGCGAGTGTGAAAGTGAAGCGATGACGACGACTATTATAACGATATCCGCAGGGTGTATATATGTGTACATAGCTAGACCATTGCCGTTTCATCGAATCATTATCGTTTTAAACGACGCGATACATTAATTTATTTCATTGATTACGTTTTCATAGTATAATTGCGAAACGCTGCGGGATCGTGCAATATTCTCAAAGCTGTGCGACGTCGGCGATCAAGCCTCTTCTTTTTCTCTCTGTAAATACATATATCTTCCACAGTTCAGTTTCCCTCTTCGCGAAGGTTTCCTTCCCCTTAAAAAAGAAAGAAAGATACCTCTCGGTCCGAAGGCTTCGCGCTTTCGGCGAGATTTTCGCAGCGACCTTAAATTATCTCGAAAGATCGGCAGCGAAAGGCTGTCACGTGCGGTCACGTTCGGGTCAAGCCGACGATAAAATCGAATGGGATTCGATTCACGTGAGGCGGGAAAGAGTTTAGCCGTCGCGTGAGAATGTCGTTGCGGGAAAGCTCTCGCAAGTATATTCAACGAACGAATGAACGAACGTGCCGGCATCGAAGACCTTACATCGAAATTTCCGCTAAAGAAACGAAACGAACCCCACGGGAAACGACTCGCGAAATGATTTTGCGAGAGGCACCGTAACCGCGCCGGCGAGAAGCTTATCCGTTTTTGTAAGCCGGCGCTCTGCGCGTTTCCGAAAATGATTTCCGATATACATATCTACCGATCTATTGTTATCGTAGTTTTTGACCGAATCGAAGTAAAAGTGTATTTCAAAATATGATACAGATGGACTATTTTTTCTTCGAATTTCCCTTCACCCCTGCGTTCACCCATTCCTCCAATTTTTATCGTTCTAGAATTTTGCATCATTTACATAGAGAAGATATATAGTATATTTTTTATTATGTCGACAATATATATATATATATATATATATATTATTATATTTTTCACCAAACTTTTTATTTCTTCAATGTCGATATATTCACACAGTTTTCTTTTTTCTTGTTTCTTTTTAGTGTCTTATTTTTTGGACGGTATCCTTGCTCTCTTCAAGTCACCTTTGCGCAGATTATTATCATCATCTCGGGAGGACGAGCAGCAGAGATCTACATAAGGTAGGTGGAAACGAATCTCTACAGGGGTCTCGGTAACGCCGAGGGTTCTAAAGCATTCTCACTGACGGAAGTGCGTATATGCAAATTTGCAAAAGATTTAATTAAACCTAGTCTCGGAAGGGGAATTCGCGTCTGCCTCGGGCCAAGTCATATGTACGTATATGATGAAGACACGTTTCATATTTAGTACATCGAGTTAAGTATATCAAATAGCATATACGACTTCGTACTATACTATACAGCGATGTATTTTTCAAGCGTATATATTAGGTAATACAATTTTACAAACGCAGAGAGATAGTAAACATAATAATTATATTTCTGCAAAGAGAGACAACAGAAAGTATCGCGCAAATTATATAAGTTATACAATATTAATCATTTCGGGAGGGCACTATTTGATTTGAAAGCTCTTAATAATTAATATGAAATCACATTTCCATCGTCTACAATTATGTCAAAAACATTCGTAATTAAAACGTCGATGTCTCGTGATACGCGAACGAGAAGTCGAAATTGATAGGTCAAAAGATACATTCCGATCTGCGTAAAGTAGCGAGTATGTACTTTTCTCATTCGATAACCGAGTCGAGAGACGCGCACGGGCCGCCGGTGTTTATCGCTGTTGCACACAGAGCGAGGGTAGAGAACGACGGGCGACCTGATGGACATACGGTGGTTCGCGTCGGGCGGAAGGTACCGACTCGTCGTTTATACGCGGTGCCGGCATAATGGAGTAGAGTGGAGTAGAGCACGGATAATGGAGTATGAAGAATAGCGTGCGGTGAATGTCGGGATAGTCCCTCTTGCCCTTCCGCCCCCCGCGGCGGCTCTCCCCTTTCCCCTCCCCGCCCTCTCACCCCCTCTTTCCCTCGCGAGGACACCCGAAGGGGCGGCAAACTGGACACGGCTCGTTGACTCGAGCGCGCAGTTGGCCGTACCGATTTATTGTCCCGCAGCCACGCCGCGTTACCGATTCCGCGATTTTAAATCCACGATTCTGTCGGCGATTCTTTCGCGCTTGTTTTTTTCGTTCTCTACCCTTCCGTTGGTGTCGTCGGGAGGTACGGCGATATATTGTCTCTCCTCGAACAAAGAGAAACCGAATCGTGGCGAATCTCTCGAGTGTCGAACACTTTTGTCGCAACTCTGTGCATTTCCTGCATAACGAGGAACAATAATTCGCTGTAATATAATTTATAATGCGGTCGCGACCCAGCTTCTCGATGGAAAAAGAAATTAAAGAGCGGAGCAGCAAGAGCAGTAAGAGAATATGTGCTGTAAATTTTTTACAACGCGCAAAATAGTTTATGAGAAAACTCCTTGATCTATGTAACTTGGAAGCATTCGATCGATAGGAATATTTAATTTTCACTTCCATAGTTATATTATTAAGATAAATAAGAAGTTGTACAAAAATTGCACAATTTTTCTGATATATATATTTTTTTTCCTTGAAAGGAATCCCTAAACAATTACCGATATTATCTATATTTTTTCACACAACCGAACTTGATTTATGCATTATTCAATCATCGCGCATACATTTTAATTATCATTGTGAAAACGCATTCTACTGATCGCGGCGATATAAAAATTAGGGACGATGAAGCACGAGCAAAAAATGCCCCAGAGCCCCACATACTGGTCGGATCGAATGCGTTGTACACACGTACGCACATCTCCCACATCTTTTTTACGCATCGAGCGCACGTGGCGTTCCCGTAAACGTTCGCTTTGGTCGACGGCGGCGGTGCGGGGGGAAGGGGGTGATTTTGGAGGTGGCAGCGAGGGGTTCGCGGTGACGGGGTGAGAGTGGTCGTTACACGCACCGGTCACTGCCACCCCCGTGGCTATCGCCGACACGACCTCCCCCCATGCAAAATCACCCTTTGTCGCGCTCGATGGGAAATTACTTTTTGTCCGTCGATTACGGGGTGAATTTTCGGACGACGAGACCCGATCATTTCGAACGAGATACGGCTCCGGTTCGAGATATCGCCGGATATCGTACGAACGTCGTATTCTCTTATTTATTGCGAAACATTCGGCTAAGTAATATAGTAGGTATATAATTAATCAATTTCTGGTTGATTTATTATTCCGAATATGACTAATCTTTAATTTCTAAATGATTTCCGAATATGCTAAATACTTCTAAATGGTTGCTTTTACAACGGTAAACTTGGATAAAATTTCGTTTGCTTTAATGATTGTGGTAAAAAAAAACAAGATTAATGATAATAAAATTAATCAAGCGCTTGTTTCATTCTCTTTCTTTTTATCACGATTATAGCAAACGAAATAATTTTTTTCAATTTTACTGTTATAAAAGGAGCCATTTAGGAATATTTAGAAATATTTAAAAACTATTTAGAAATATATTATAAGATCCGCCATTTAGGAATATTTAGAGTACTTAGAAACCATTTTGAAATATTTAGGACATTTAAAAACGCGAGCTCTTATCCCCGATATAAAATTTATCAGATTTATTAACAATTGCGAAAATTTCTTCAAAATTTCGATTCGCACAATTATGCAGTTCTTATTCTGCTATTGTAAAAAAATCGCGCGAAACTTAGACAGAGAGCACCATATTAAATTCCACGCCGATTCGTGCATCGCATGGCGATGTCTGGAAATAAGAGAGAGCCTTGACGAAGTATGCCCGCGGGGCCGCCAGTCCTTGATTACCAAGATCTTCATCTACATGCTAAACATCGTTCCACGGCACCGTCTTGAATACTCTTGTACTTACGTATGTATCTAGATCCACGGAACCCCCGTCCCTGCACGCGTACTCGTACTCGTAGAGCGCCTGAATATATTCCACCCTTCTCGATCTCCCTGACACCGCGTGAAACACATTCCCGTACCATCTATATGATGTTTGCTTAGATTAAATTAACCGACCGTGAAGCCGTCCTTTGTTCTTCGTGCGGCGTGGCGGAAACGCAGACATGCCGAAAGGAACGGAAAAAGAGGAAGCGTCGGGGAAAAAGCTTGTACGGAGGTTCTGGGATACCTCGCGTGTTCAGATTTCGAGGTAAAATTGCATTCGCGACAATTTAGGACGAGATGTTTAAATATAACGATGTTAATAACAATTCCGCAGCGAATCGCAGCCGGAAGCGATATACTGGTTTTATGTTACAAAATGCAGAAAAGGAGATTTTTTTCGACAGGACATAAAGGGTGTATAATATTGAGATTCTTTAGAATAGGCGCCATCTTTCTCGATAGTAACTAAGTGTACGAGTGGTTTCTTAAAAGACGCTTTGCCGGCGGCGCAACTTCTTTAAGAAAATATCCTTATTCTTTCTTTCTTACCGACTCGTTTCGCCCCAAGTTCAATAGCCGCGTTCACCCCCTAATCTTACGTCGATTCAGTAGCAAATATATAAACTAAAAAATATAAATTTTGAAATAGTAATCTTTATACTTCTCTCTCTCTCTCTCTTTTTCTAAATTCTTGAATATTTTTTTGAAATTAAAAAACAAAGTATTGGAAAAGAAAATATTTTTACGTTACTTCGTCGATTATTTTGGAAGGATATCTGGAAGATATTAAATAAAAGAACTTGCTGATAAATTGTATTGCATTTGTAGTAATTAATTTTATGCGTTTTTTTTTAAACTTGTTCCTTACCGACCTTTTGGTAAGCTGCCTTATCACGAGGGGTGACGTTTTCTTAGAACTAAAGAAGGGTGCGAGAAAGAGAGGAGGGTGAGTATTCTTAAATGTCTTTACTGTCTTCCTCGTACGAGGGCGACACCAGTACCGTCTTAAGAAAAAAGATTTATAAGACGGTGAGTTTCTTTTATTAAAAAATGTGGCCGTAATTAATAACAAGTTTACAAACTTCAATTTGTAGTGAATCATAGCGTGAATTCTTCTCTATGATGTGTTGAATGGTCTTGAATCTTAAATTTTTTTGTTCAAAAGCCCTAGAGTTTGTATTTGTTCTATTTTATTTGCGAATAATGCACTTTGTGATTTTATTAGACAAAAATGTATTTAACTAATTGTAAATGTTCTCTTTATTTAGAAAATTAGGCATTTAATTTAAGCGAATATATATATATATACACAAGTAATATCTTACAAAATATCTACTACCTACTATGTAAAAATAGATAAGTAATGAATTTTTAATATCATTTCTCGTAAGGGAAGGTATAAGAAAATCATTTCATATTTGAAAAAAATTGAGAGAAAAAGAATATACATGTTAATATTAAAAATATATTTGATTTTAGAATCGGTTAGTAATGATGAATTCTGAAAAATGAGTGAGCCACTCGAGGGTCCTTTCGCCGCGTGAATCACGAGAGCGTCCTAGCGTTGGTTGATCGTCGGTTCGGTCGGTTAGCCATTTCTCTGTGTTCGATCTCCCGACTCCAAAGAACCTGGTCAAACGCGCTGGAGAAATATGCGAGCCTGACCTGAAGCAGTAGAGAGAGATCTCGAAGTATCTTGGCCGGGTCTCGCCGGTAGCTAGGCAACCCACCCCCGGGGCCCACCGTCAGTCCTCCTTCTCCTCACCTCTGTACTCTCGCTCTCTACCCCTTGCCACCTTTTCCTCCACGAGACTCTGTGCCTCCTCCGCCTCCTCTTCCTTCGTTCTCTTCCTTCTCCATCTCCTTCTCCAACAACCTC